CCCAAAACCCCAAAACCCCAAAACCCCAAAACCCCAAAACCCCAAAACCCCAGATATTGTGATTGATACTAAGATCGAGGAAAGTGAAATCTAAATTATTGAATATTAATGGGACGCATAGATAATCAGATGGCATGAATATTGATATCTTTATACTTTGACTGTTCTTCCTACTTGAGCTTGATTGCTGCCTTTGTATTCTAGAAGTACTTTAATGCATCTTTTACTTGATCTTCTGAACCGTTCTCTATTTGATCTATCTGTTCTTTAATAAGGTCCAATAAGTTATTTATGTCTTCAGCAGTAATCTAAAGAATCGGTTAAAGGATTTAAACTTACAAATTCAGCATCAATGCTATAGAAATATAGATATTTATTTAGGATGATTGCGAATAAATATAGATTCTTGGCTTAATTCTGGCAAATATCTGCGATTTTAATGGCTCTTTTAAGACAGTCCATAACTTTGTTACCTTGCTTTTTGAAGTTGGAGTAGTAAAGGGAGGAGGCAAAAGTAATAGCCTCGCACTAAGAAGGCTTCTTAAGCAGTTTAGAGCAATATGATACAGTGTTAGTAACAAGTGTATCATAGTTTTCTTAGCCAAAGCAAACTAGAGTGAACATTGTTGAGACAATCAAATTGATAGCAGCAAACTTGGCTTCACTATCACTCAATTCCTCCTCGTAGATAAGTAGAGAATTAGTGCAGAAATCATATGCTTCTTCCTCAAGCTCATGATAGTTTGGTATCCTGTTAACTGCCTCTGCTGCTTGAAGGTACAATCTAAGAGAGAGATCTGGATACTACTGCTTGATGAGTCCAATAAGTTCTCCCACACATTTGAAGATCTTTACCTAATCAACCATAGGCAATTTGAGTGATGGTTCATCATCTTCCATCTTTATTTCTTCCTCATGTCCCATAGAAGGTCTGTTCACCAACTCCTGAGATAGTCTGAATAGACTGAAAATCATTGCTGGTAATGTGTACTTCATTCTCTTAATACCTCCTTTAACAAAGATTCTCTTGAATTTCATGAGGATCTCAAAATACAGATCGATATTTGTCTTATGGTAAACTAGGTGGACAAGCTTAGCTACTGCTACTTGACCCTCTTCAAACTCCTATGGATCTTCCTCAGAACTGTCCTTATCATCTTGCAATAAGGGCATAATGAAGTCTATTAGCTGATCAACAGTTTTTGGAGAACTCAAATGATTTTTGTCATTAATGACTGCCTTCACAATTCTTAGGGCTACAGTACGTCGATTATTAAACTTCATATATTTCATGAGAGTAGGATAGTGGTTCATATTCAGAACAGCTATCGACAATGACTCAAGGGGAATTGAAAGAAGCTTGACAAGGAGTTTCATTGAATTGTTATCTGAGTTATGGATTGTAGTGGACTTTAGAATTTAAACACAACTCTCCAAAATTTAATTCACATAGTTGATATTCTTGGGATAGGTCTTGATAGAGAAATTCATAAATGCGACTTCTAATTCTAGGAGTCTAGCAACTTCAATGGTTTTTCCTTGTTCTTCAATAATTTTGTCAGTGTACTTTTTGAAGAGTTTGAAAATGTCCAAGTCTTTATTGATGGTAACTACATCACTATCTGCATTAGCTGCGAATTTAGAAAGCTTCTCCATCAAATTTATGAAAATGCTCTTAATATCCACATTTGAGTTGAGATTACTTGTAGTGTCTAATAGTGATTCAAGGGACTGTAGATGATACTCATCTGGGAATACTTGGATGATGCAGTCCATGAGATATTATTGCGCCATAGTATCCTTGCAAATGACAATTATCTCTAATATCTTGGGAAGTACCACTGATTTATAAATATCATAAGTTAACCCATCCAAATGACCTAGTCTGATAATATTCTCACCGACAGTAACTCTGAGTTCGTTACGCTCAATCTCTCTCTGCTCTTTATCCTTTGTTGAAGATAAGTGCTGAAGACGCACCCATAATCTATTCATCTCACTCATATTTTAAAGAATGAATTCAATAGCATCATTTACATCTCCTCCTTCACCTTCATAAGTTGAACCCTTGTCTGGAAGCTTATCCTTCATCATCTTTAGCAAATAGTATCTTAAGAACAGTCCTCTTACTGGCTATTAAACACCCTTAACCATATCTAGGAGATCTCTTAAAATTAGTTTGACTGGTGCCTCCTTAATTTTAACGTAAGCGGAACCGACTGTAATCATAAGATATAGACGGGGAATTATATTTCCTGCGTGTTATACTGACTCATATAGATCTGCCATCTTTCTTCCCTTACTTGATTCTTCAATAAAATGATTCTCTAAATATCCTAGCTCATCGAATACCATCATGACTAGGTAATATATTAGGGAAAATGAGCAAGTGATAAGATAATAATTGCTTAGTAAATGACTTACAAAGATTGAAATAGTTTCTTGGAGAAAGTAGAGATGTCTTGAGCTCACAAAGCATAGCAGATGAGTGCTTTAGTGCCTCTCTTAAGCTATTGTGGTCAAGAGCTTTCTTCATGTAGAAAGCTTGCTATCTGACGACGGCCATATGCTCATCTAAAAATTTTTCCTAATCCTCTTCCATTAGTATTTTAAACTTTTATTATTTATATAATCGATTATTCCTCAATTATCAATAAATAGCTTGCTAATTAATTTAATCATGTGTGATATCAAACCCAATTCTCATTCTTTGGTATTTCTCTTTTTATCTTTCTTTGATTTCGTTTTCTAATCCTCTTCATCACTGCTAATTTCACCTCTCTTAGTATTTTCTAAGGGCCTCTTTGTTGCACTTGTCAAACTTAAAGGGTTTTACCTCTACTCAAAAGTTAGACTAAAGATTATTGATTACTGGGACTGCTTTAATGATGTTTCTAGTTTATGGCTTCTCAATACCCTCATGAATTATTGAACTCATTACTTTAACATATCCATTGATTCCCTTTCCAATCTTTAAGTTTCCAATTTGTTCACTAGGAGTATCAGTTTCAGGTAATAGAGTTAAAAGCTAAGTGATATGAGCACCTCCACTGAACTATGAGGCAGCATCTGAGCCTACTTTCAGAGAATCGATTCCAATCACTAAATTCTTATGAACTGACTCAGTTTCATCTTCTTCACTCCTCTTTACTTAAGTCTTATGATAAACCAGGCCTTCCTTTCTAGATTTCTTCAAACTCCTCTTTAAGTCAAACCTCTCACTCAATTAATTTAAGTCAGCAACATTGAACTATAGCAATGTAATTATTAAGTCAATGATAACTTACTCCTTTTGGTACTTCGAATAAAATAAGCTATTAAGATGACTTAGCAATAATCTTGTCGATTTTACTCCAGGTTCCATCCCCTATCTTCAGTCTTTTGTAACTAGCAGATTCATTGAGTGCTCCCTGGATCATTGAATCGACTCTCTGTCTTTTACCTGCAGTTTCTTCCATTATTATTTAACTAGGCATTAATAAATAATCAACACTTTATTCATTCTGCTATTAAAATATTCTAAGCAAAAGGGGTTTTGGGGTTTTGGGGTTTTGGGG